TAAGCCAGCTTCTAAGCTGATTGGTCGTAGGGAATCATACCTAGCCAAAGCTATAACCGATCCGTCTCTTGTTATAGGTGATTTCGTCTACGATGCGCTCTGCTCATTTGTATTTCGCGGTCCTGTGATCATTCTTGATTCGCGGTCAAGTAGACATCCACCCAGTCAAGATCCAGAATTGCGTCCATCAGACTCGCAACTCTACCTGCATCCATGCATCCATCCATGCATGCATCCATGCATTCATCCATCCATCCGTCCATCCATGCATTCATCCATCCATCCGTCCATCCATTCATCCATCCATCCACCCAGCCGTCCATCACCGTGACTCTGACTCTGAGGAGACGCGGCTTCCTCTTCTCTCTGCCGTACCTTTCATCATCGACCACAAAGCCCCCTGCTGATGTGCGCTGGTGAGCGATCTTCTAGCAATTCGTCCTCTCCATCTCATCAGCGCCATGAATCGGTCTTGGTCTTCTCTTCCGGACCTGAGGGCCTTAGCAGCTGCGCGTGGAACGCAGCAAAAGTTCATCAGCGCCAACGATCATGATCGGGCGTGGTCTTCCCTGCCGGACCTTCACCCTGAATCTAACGACGCCTCGAACAGCTACCGCTGGAATCCAGACTCTACTTGCGCTTTGCCCGAAATCACTGAGAATCTCGGCATACCTGGGGCTTATAAATTCTTGGACGACGAAGCTCAACGACCTTCGCAGGCCGACATTGCGGTGGGAAACGATTTGAAGCAAGAGGCTCTTACCAATGTCAATGTCAACACGGCAATTTCTCTGGCCATCGAGTGCGCTGTTCGGGCATATCAGCCTGAACAGCCCATCACATTGCGCCACCCTGGTCGGCCCGGCGTTGCTGCACCCAAAGTCGTCGATAATCTCACACAGAGCTCGTCTGATGACGCGCAAGTCAGTCGTATCGCCCTTTTCGAGCACCAGCACGCCGAAGCGTCTTCTAGTCACAGCAAGACGGAGGCTAAGGTCACTCTTGTCGTTGCTGTCGTGGGGCTCGATCTGCCAGAAGATCTTAAAGAGGAGCACATCTTCAATGCGGTGGATGGAAGATGCGGCGCCGAAACGAAGACTTTTCAGCCCGTGCCCGTGGACATCATCGAGAGCCCGCTTTTGCATCCGCGAGGTCAGCCGATGCTCGTGCACCGCCGTTTCATGGGTGCTGCGGCAAAGATCGTGGACCGGGTGGCATCTGCCATTCGTAGCGCTTGCTCTGATTCAGACACGTCAACAGCGTTGCTGGTCACTGGACACTCCTCGGGTGGTGCGATCGCCTCGCTAGTGTTGAGGCTGCTTTGCAATCATCACGCGATGCTCATGAGCAAATGTGAGTGATGATGCAAGCCGGCTCAGCTCGGTTCGCACGGTCTAGCACCGCCGTTCAGAGAGATGCATAACAGAGCCGAGAAACCAGGACTCACACAAAGATTGCCCACTTTTGTCTCACGCATGCAATCGTGAATGTGTAGTCGCAGGTCACATTCGCCTTGTGACCTTCGGGTCTCCCCCAGTCATCGCATCCCATCATGAGCATCTCTTCAAGCCAGCCGAGGCGCGCTGCCAGGCTTTCATGGCGCAGGGAGACGCGGTCACTTTTGTTCGCTCGGCCTCCGACAGGCAGCTAGCCTTGCCTGAAATCAACACCTTCAACAAAGTGCTAAGCCCTATGCTTCACGAGACAAGCAGACTCGCCCAGACAGTCGCCTTGTGCCCTGTTGGCCAGCTGGTCAAAATCGAACAACATGACTTGTTTGAGTCAACGCTCCGCCAGGTAGACTTGCGTTCCTGGAGCTCGATGACTCCACCAGATCCCTGGCATCCTCAATCGCATAGCATCGTGTCCTATTGGCTGTTGATCCAGTCACTCGACACATCCAGATGGACACCACGGGCTTCAGCACTTTTCTCGGAGGCTTCACCACTGTCCTCGGATGCATTGCGAGAGGATTCGCCTGACTTTTGTGGCACGTCCGCTTTGTCACAACTGCAGAGCGTCAACGCAGACGAAGATATGGCGATCCTTTACGTAGACATTGCCAAACTGCACCCAGCCCCCTCCTTCAGCGGAAGCTCTGTGAGGATTCCTTTGGACGTCCTGACTTGGTTTAGCGAGGAAGGCATTGCGAAGACCATCTCAGCTTTTGAGCTACGACATTTGGCATGCGTCCAAGCAGCTGTTCTGCCGGTCACCTACAACCCAGTGTCTGCTCTACTTGGCTCACCTTGCATCTACCTCTATGGTAATGCAGCCTCCAAAGAACACCGCGACTTTGCGAAATGGTTGACGACAAGTGGTTTTCCAGTACTGCTTCGGTCTTACGCCCTTGCCCCGCCGAGCATGCTCACGACCGCGACATCGAAAGCGCCAACGGTCTCTCGTCCAGCCGGCGCTCGAGTCTCTCACACAGGTGGCGAGACCACAAGTACAGCTGGGTGCAGCAAAAACCAAGCAGGCGGAGATCCCTTGCAAGGGACCAGCGGCACGGCGAAGCCTGAACTTGCGCCACAAGCAGGGCCAGCCGCCCCTGAAACAGGGTTCGCGCGCTATGTGAGCACGCTGGAGCTGGACCGGGGAGATCTTGCTCCTCAGCAACGTTTGATGGTTGGCCCCCGTGCACCCAGTAACACGTGTCCACTGCGTCCACAGCTCTGTGGGCCCACAGCGCTCCAGTCCAAGCAGATCTTCCAGTTTCAGGGGATCTTGGAAGACGATTTGACCAAACGGGTCAAATACAAGTGGATGCACATCCTCACTGTCATCCCTGGTCTACGATGGGAAGCCCTCTACTATCGGCAGCACGTTGGAGGGGTCTTGAACACAAGTGGCTCCCCTTTCTTGGCAGGATTACTCCAGTCAACACCAGAGCGTATGCCCATCTCTGAGCGCCCGGTGGAGATCACTCGAGAGGTGGGAGGGCAATTGTGCATGAACATTGGTACCGCACTTGTGGGTCCAACTGTCATGGCCAATTTGATCCAGTTTATTCCACAGATTGCTGGAAAGAAGACGGAAAAGTTTGTCAATGGCGACCATTATGTTCTTCCATTGAGCTCTGGCTACCTGGCTAGCTCGCACCGGGTTAGCCCTGGTGCAGAGCACATCCCTCACCAGCCATGGAATGAGTCTCACAATGTTGTTGCAATGTTGGACTACGACGAGGAAGAAGCCTTCTTGAGTGCGGCCCAAGTTCAAGATGACCAGGCATTCTTCAAGCTTGGATCCATGATCGAGTGTACGATCAGTCCTGTGGAGACTCTTCCTTCTGGCAACTCTGAGGTTGTGAGGAATTTCCTCCGTCAGGGCTGCTACAGGGCTGTGGTGATGCACGAGACTATCTTCAAGTCCGTGTACACCCCTCAGCGCCCAGATGAGCTTGCAGCTCACTTCAAGATCATCAATCGCAGGCCAGTTGCCAGTGAGGCGTTTGAAGAAGTGGAAAAAAGAGGTCGACTAGCTTTCCTGCGGGATGAGCTACCAGCCACCGCGACAACAGTTGGCGCATCAGGTCAGCACCTCTCTGGGGTAGTGTGATGCACATCACGATTTCACCAGGTGCTGCCGAATTCCATCACTTTTTCTCCGTGGCTGTGGTGGTGGTGATCAGGGCTGAACAGACTCAACCGAATTACGCACGCGCGCGCGCGCGTCAGCGCATGCGGGCGCTGATTCCCTCGAGACCCTTGTGCACTCGCAAAGACCAATGCGGATGGCACATAGCTGGTGTCGAGACGCGAATGGTTTTCTTAGATGCACATGTACCCAGTGCCTGCTTTTGAATGTCACGCTTCTCTCCCTTGCTTGATGCAACGATGATCAAGGAAACAAGGGCGCAGGTTCGATGACGTACGCAGAGCGCAACCCTGGAGCGCTGCCTTGGTGACGGGTCGCACACACCGGCGAGCCAAGCCCTACGCTCGCAGGCGTGCACATGCCTGCTCTTCACCATCACTACAATCACGAATGACGATCGTCACGGAATATTCACGTGCAAAGGTTGCGTGTCATCTTTCACTGCGCGCACGTCGCCAACAAAGTCACTCCACAGGCCATGGTCG